GCTGGCTGCTCTGAGGACATTTTGGGGAAGGGGTTGGGGTGCCCAGCCCTTCCTTGCTCTGAAGATGGCACTTTGCGCCATCTGCTTAGCCCCTTTGTTCCTCAAGCATTTGTTTATAATAGTTAGCTGTTAATCCATCTGACCCAGGTGACTTACCCAGCTTCATCATCCCAATGGCTTCCTTAATTTCTGTTATTGTAATTGGTAGATTTAATCTGACTTTATCTTCTTTGGATAAATTATTAATATTTTGTTTCTTTAGATATGCTATACTTTATCTTTATCCTCTTTTGAAATCTGTACATTCCTATATATCTCTTCATAGTATTCTTTGTATTCTTTTTAAATATGATCTTGATTTGTAATTGATTTGTAATTGATTCCCCGTCTTTATAGATTTCTGATATTCTTTTCTTTTCTTTTTCTCTTCTTAATTTGTTTGCCAATAGTTTCCCTGCTTTATTTCCTGATTCAAAATGCTTTTGTTTTATCTGTCTTAATTTCATTTCTATTTCTTTGACTGCCATCATCTTTAATTTTTGCTGTAAATTTTTAATTTTACATTTTAATCCTTTATTGCCATTCTTTTTCCATACTTCTTCTAGTTTACTCAATTCTTCTTTAATCTCCTGTTCTTTTCTAATATCTTTCCTTCTTTGTTTCACTTGTAATTTAATTAAAATCCCTCTAATCACAGCCTTGCCGGCATCCCATATCATTTTAATCTTCATTCCTTCAGTTTTATTTTCTTTGAAATAGTGTCTTAATGTTTCCTTTATAATCTTTATATTTTCTTTTCTTTTCAGTAGTTAATCATTTAATTTCCACATATATGATTTCTTTTTCTCTTCCAATTCCATCCTTATCGGGTTATGGTCAGAAAGTGTATTTGGTTAAATTATCCATGTTTTGTATCAGTGTTGTTATGGGTTTAGATACTAAAAAAAGATCTATTCTGGAGAAAGAAGTATGTGGTTCCAAAAAAAAAAAAATGTGTAACCTTTCGTTTCTTTGTATTTATGTCTCCAGACATCAACCAAATTGAATTCTTCTTGTATCTCGAAAAAAGAATATGGCAATTTCCCCTGATTTATTCAAATTTTTCTTCCTTCATTTGATTTCCTATCTAGTTTGGGTTCAATCACCATGTTAAAGTCACCTAGCATTATTATGTTCTCATAGTTTTGATCTTTGATTTCTTCTTTGATTTTGTTAAAATATACATCTTTGTTTTCTAAAGGTGCATATATACCAACCAATAGAATTATTAGATTCTCCAATTTTACCTCTACTTCTGAATATATTCCGTCCTGGTCACAAAAAAATTATTTGGAGTGATATTTCCTATTAATATATAATGCAATTCCTTTCTTCTTATTATCAGCCGCTGATATATATGCCTTTCTTAATTTGGGATTCCTAATATATTTAGCTTCATTTTTCTTGATTTTAGTTTCTTGAATGCATATGATATCATTTTTTAATTTCTCCAATTGGTGAAAAATGATATTCCTTTTATTGATGCCTTTCATATTCCACAATATGATATTAAACATTTTTTCTGTCCAACAAGTTTTTTTAGATTGTTTTTATTTGTGCCACTGCTTCCACCCCTATATTTCTTTATTGATTTATTTAATTCACTTATGGAAAGGTTTCCCAAATAAAGTCCAATAATTAAACGATCAGATAAAAGTATTGTCTAAATCCACTCTTGTTCTTTCTTTTCAATGGATCCTTCTCTTATAGTTAGAGTTAGCTTCTGTTATTTTCCTTCCTATTATTCCTCTTCTACTCTTCTACTCCCCTCTTCTACTCTTCTACTTCCTCTTCACTATTAGTTCCTTGATCTGTATTGGACCTTTCTTCTGATATTCTGTTTATTAATTTTCCCAATGAGTTATCCTCTTCTTCTTTCTTTTCTCCCATATCCTTCTCTTCCTTATTTCCCTTTCCTTTATATTTTTTAGCTCTCCATTCTCTTGTTGTTGTCTTTCTTTTGTCTTTTTCTTCTTTTTCTTTGTTCCTCAGATCATCTTTAAGTATTTGTTCCATCTCCTTCGCTTTACTTTCATTATCAATTCTTATTCTTTTTTGTCCATAAGTGAATGATAGTCCCTCCAATCTATCCCATTTATAATTAATGTCCATGTTTTTCAACAATTGTGTCAATGTCTTCCATTCTTATTTTAGTGTTGTAACTTTTTTAAATAACCAAGTCTCTAAATTTAGATCTTGTCCAACATATTATTACATTCTGTAGCATTTTCATTTCCCTAGCTTGTACTGAATTGATTCTGAATATTTTATCAACTTCATTCTCCATTTTTTCCTTGTCAGTTCCGGTTAGTTCTGCCAGACAGGGTATTAATCTTATATAAAGATCTTCATTTGTCTTTTCCAATAGACCTCTGATCTTAATACATTTCTCATGATATCTGAGCTCATTTGTCCAAATCATGGATTGTTGCTGTTCTTGTTTCTTTGTGTTGTCTTTCGATAATTCCTCCAATGCTTTAGTTCTTTCTTTAATTATGTCTACTTCTTTTTGGGTTTTATTCATGTCTGATGACATTTTCTCCCTCTTTTTATACAGTACATCAATTTCTTTTTAAAAGTCTTTCCTAATTTCATTTCTTGTCTCTTTTATTTCTTCTCTTAGTTCTTGAATTGCCTCTTTCAAATCATCCTTTGACTCTTGTCTATTTTCTTTCATCTCTTGTCTTATACGCTGTACTTCATCCAATAGTAGCATTATAGGATCCGTTGTTTTTACTATGAAAAAAAATAGAAAAAATGGCAACATCAAAAAAAAAAAAAAAAACCTGATCAATCAAACAAATATCAACCCAGAGGAGAGGATCAACAGAGGACATAGAATTGCTCACAACTAGTTATGCCATTCAGCAACATATGGAGAGCTGCATGACTCCCATCTCTGCTTTACAAAGCAAGCGCTTTTAATAGTGTGCTGTTCAGTTTTTATTTCTTCCCTTTTTAATGGATAGTTTTAATATTCATTCATCTTGTAGACAGTGTAATTCCACTTTAACAATATTTATCTTCTTATATTCTCATTTTTGCAAGCCACCTTGAATCCCAGTTCTGAGGAAAAGGTAGGATAAAAATAAGTAAAATAATTACTACTAAATCATTATCTTGCATCTGTATTTTTTACAGGTGAAAAAGAGAACATCAGTATCCTAATAAGTCCAGACAGCAGCTATGTATTGCTAGTAAACAGTTAAGTTGTAGGCATTATTTATTTGTTCCTTTGATAAAAGATTACATATTCATATTCTCTTTGAGAACATGATGGTACATTTACAAAATGTAGTAAGATTTAAGATAAAATTGTCTGTCTCAGAGCGGTAATGA